TCTGTGCAAGCCGAGGGGGTAGTCTCCTTGCCACACAGCACCTCCTGGCCAGAAAGGACTCCCAACTCAAGAAAAGGAAAAGAAAACAAACAAACAATTAAAAACAAATGAACAAAAGCCCCGGGATCACACCAGTGTGGCAGCCCAGACCGGCAAGCAGCTCCACACTCGAATGGAGCACCGCAGCCCCTCAGGAAGAAGCAAAGATGGCGCACGGAGCCAGGTATTTGAGCAAAAGGAGGGGGAGGTGGTGAGAGGTAAGGAAGAAATCAAAAGAAGCGGATAAAAGCAACACCAGCAGCCAACAAATGGCACTCAGAGAGCCGGCCCGTTCAGGTGGGTGGAATCCAAGCAACCGGTGCTTCCTGGACAAGAGATTGTGGCCGTGGGAAGCAGAGGAGGCCGAGCAGGGGTGAAGAAGGGTGGAGGGTGGGAAAGTGTATATCTCAAATTACCGGTTGTTTTGTCTCCCGCTGGAAGCTCCGTGAAGCTGCTTTCTTGTACCCCCTGTTTGCTGGTCTCCAATAGTAGTCCAAGATGGTGGATCTGTGCCGCATTAGCTGATAGGGGACCTCTGCATGAATCTCTCTTCACTCTCCGTTCTCTGTCAGTTTTCTCACTCCATTTGGTGCTTGGCTGAGTTCTTTATCTCTTCATTTGATGTTTTACGGTTTCAGGATTGTTGTTTTCTCTGTTCGGCTTAGTTTTTTGGATCTTTGCTGTGGAGGGACGGCATGGTGCTTCTACCTAGAGTGCCATTTTGCCAGAAGTCCTACCAGGGAATGATTTCAAAGGTTTACCAACCATTGACAAAGAAGTGTTCAGTTGGCACGAAAAGTGGCCATTAACATCCAATGGAATTGTGTGAGGCTACCATGGAACATTGTCTAATTAGAGGTGGAGGAACATTAAGGAACTATCTACACAAAACCACGTATGTGAATCTTTCCTTGATAGGGAATTGAAGGGCCTTTCAAGGCTAATTTTGGGTGATTTTCATGTTACCCTCACTTTAGTTGATAGCCCCAGGTTAGATGTGATCATTTGTCTTGGCTCTCATATCATATTACAGTTATTTCTTTAGGGAAAGACCTCCTTCACTAGACTTCTAGCAAGGGCAGGGCCCAAGTCATATTCATCTTTAGCTGTCAATTGATAATTGCTGAATAAACTTTTAGGGTGCAAATCATTTTCCAGCCATCCACATCTGAAGGCAATCAAGTGTGTTTAATTATAGTTCTAATTTCCGTTCTCTTGTATTTACAGCCACCACTGGTCCAAGCAATCTTTAGTGGCGATCCAGAGGAGATACGGATGCTTATCCACAAAACCGAAGATGTGAATGCTCTGGTAAGAGATGCTGTGGTTGATGAGATAGTTTTGCCTGCTCAAGCCCTTTTAACCTGGAGCAAGGGCTCTTAACCCTTTCTGTACTGTAGACTGCTTTGACAGTCTGACGAAACCTCTGGATCATTTTTCAGAATACTGTTTTTAAATCCATAAAATAAATATTAAAAATCAAATTTGTAATATAGTAATATACGTGCTTCTTTATCAACACATTCAAATAACAAGATACAGTGGAATATCTATAATGATAAAATAGTGATGAACATAATCAATACTTTGAATTATCTTCAACAAGTATAACATGACATGACCATATCTGTGATTTCTAATGGTAACAGAGTCACAGGTACTGCCGATACTACCATGATTTTTTGCCTATGTTCATAATTGAAGGAAATGCCAAGTTTCAATTAGAAGTTAGTGAAAATAAAGATGTAATATTTTTCTTATGGACCTCTAGACCGTGGACCCCAGAACCTGTGCCCTACAGCAGGGGTTGGCAAACTTTGGTTCACTACCTGTTTTTGTACAGGCCACCAGATTAGAATAGATTTTATATTTTTAAGTGGTTAAAAAAAATGAAAAGAATAATATTTTATAACATGTGCAAATTAGATGAAATCCAAATTTCAGTGTATTATAGACACTGAAAACCGCAACAACTGTAAAACTTTCTCCAACTTCCAAAAGTTCTGTTGGAAAACAACCACGGTCTTTTTTTTTTTTTTTTTTTACTTATTTTATTGTACTGCTTTCGTGCTACAGTGACAGAGTTGAGTAGTTGTGGCAGAGATCACATGTGGCCTGCGCAGCCTAAAATATTTACTGTCTGGCCCTTTATATAAAGGTTTGCTGACCTCTGCCCTAGAGGGCTCATGAACCTGGAACCAATGAATGAGCTAAGCATACTACATACCATTTGAAATTGTGTATAATATGTGTGTACACTTGTGCACATATATATTTATCTGTGAAAAGGGCCAGGCATTTCATTAGATTTTTAAAAGCGTCTATGACTGGATCTGGAAGGTCTTGAAACAAAGATACAATAAAGAAAGGTGGGAAGAGGTAGTCAATAATTTACCTGTTTAATAGTTTCCTAGACCTAGATTGAACAAGCAATTATGTGCAGTGCATGCTACTAATCTCTTAATGCAGCTCAATTACGCAAATGTTCACGTTCATTAAAGAGAGGAGTCTTTTTTGAAGTCTCTACTGTTAAGTAGAAACAACAGAAACGGTCAAACACGTCTTCAGTGTAAGGCGAGCTTTGCCACGGGGAAATGAATTATGTCTAAGGTTGTATCTCTATCCGGTTGGTTGAATGCTTTATTCAGAAGGCGAGTCATTTGGTGCAACCGTTGTTCTATTACAGTGCAGGTTTGTGTGGTTTTTTGTAAAAGCTTTTGGCAGCCTCTCCCTAGCTGGCACTGAAAACAATGGGACAATGTTATGTGACATTTTTGCAAGGTAGGCACAGATGAGGCCAGGGACAGGCTACTTGAGAAGGCATTTTGGCATTTGTCCAGGGCCTGCAGGGCGTGATCTATACTTCTGAGAGGAGGTAAGGTAAGCAAGCTCACTGTCCAGTGTCTGTCATCGCTGGAATTTGCCGAGCCTGTTTTGTGGCTGTGGCCCAAGCCCAGGCAAGCCAAAGGCAAAGTTACTATCTTTTCCTGATGATCGTGAGCAAACAGAACTTTTATTCAGAGTCATACACACCAAGAAAGATTGTACTGGCCTCTGAATGGCCTTTATTTCTCCTTTGGGAGAATGACAAACAGTGGTTGACTGGTAAAGGTTAGGAGAGCTTTACTTTAGCTGTATCATTGAATTAGTCAGGTGGGGAAGTTTATTTCTCTTATGAACAGGTTGGAAACCCCGGTGACGTAGTGGTTAAGAGCTACAGCTGCTAACAAAAAAGTTGGCTGTTCGAATCCACCAGACGCTCCTTGGAAACCTGATAGGACAGTTCTACTCTGTCCTATTATAGGGTCACCATGAGTTGAAATCTACTCGACAGCTATGGGTATGAACAGGTTAGAGGGGTGGCCTTTTCCACATAGGGTCTCAGGTATCAACTTATGGCTTCTAAGATCACCCTAGGGGTCATATCCAGCACAGTCCAGCCAGAAGGGGGAAAAAGAGCTTGGAGGAAAAGCATGGGAGGATTTTTATGGGCCAGCCTGGCAATGACAAGCATTACTTCTGCTCACATTTCAGTAGCTAGAAGTCAGTCACGTGGCCACACCTAACTACCAGGCTGGGAAATTAGTGTAGCTGTGTGCCCTCAAAGAGTTGGAGAATGTTGATTTTGGTGCGTAGTTAGCAATCTCGGACACACTAGTTTTTGGTCTTACACAATTCTAGGTAATTCAAGTGATACCACTTACTTGTCTGTGAGGTTCTTTATTCATTCAACAATTATTTACTGAATTCAGACTGTGTGTTAAGTGCTGCAAATACAGCAGTGAGAAGTAGCTGTCTCCCTCTTGGATCTTACAACATCGAAGAGAAGACAATGAGTGAGAAATCACACTGCTATGCGTTTCTGAAAGGGAAAATCCAGGACGCTATGTAGGGGCCTAGATTAATCAGGAACTGCTCTGGATGGTGCAAATGGTTAAGCACTTGGGTACTAACCGAAAGATTGGAGGTTCAAATCCACCCAGAGGCTCCTCAGTAGAAAGGTCTGGTGAACTACTTCCAAAAAATCAGCCATTGAAAACCCTAATTAACACAGTTCTACTTTGACACACGTGGGGTCGCCATGAGCCGGAATCAACTCAATGGCAACTGGTATTTTTTAGGTTAATTAGGAGGGCCTGGGAGGGACTTTCTGATGAAGTGATGTATAAACTGAGATCTTAAGAATAAGTAGAAATTTGCTTTGTATTTGTGAGCTCTTGGATGTGTGCCAGCAGGGAAGAGTGAGGACAAAAGGAGGGAGAGGAATAAATGAATAAATAAATGGTTGAGTGAATGAATGAACAAACACAAGGATGGCCTGAGTTTCTTAGGTTGATCATATGGCTATTCAGGATCCACAGGTCTCTTCCTTCCACTCATGTCTCTTTAGTCTCCCCCTTCCCTTTCCCTTGCCACAGGTGAGTATGAGAAAATCATCTGATCACCCACCCTATTGTCAGGCATGTTGGAGACACTGAGCTGTCCTCTTAATATCATGTTTTTCTTTTACCAATGCTCCTTGGGACAAAATAGTCCCACATTGACTATTTTGCTGGGGGTGGATTAGATAGTTTTGGGGAAGTGGTTTTTAACAAAGGGCATAGGGAGATGGAAGACAAATAAGGATTAAAAATCTAAACCTGGAGATTCATTTCATGAGGAAAGAGAGGCTGCTAACCATGATATTTAAATGTCAAGGAAAGGAAATAAATAGTGGAGGAGCTACCTGTTACTTGGAAGACAATATTTGTCTTCTTCCCATCGCCCCCTTTGCTTTTCTCTCTTCACGCCAATTATTCACTTACCTTTTTTTTTTCCCTCAATCTTAGGTCCCTGATTTTCTTGTCTTCCTTTTTCTTCCCCAGCTCTTCTGTGAGTGTGTTTTGATTTATCATATTTTCTGTGGTATAAATATTCTTTGATTAACCAATCCTGATATAGAAAGCGATCTCATTCAGCTTGATCTCTGTGTTTTCCCAAATTTTATTCTTCACTAATAGTATTCATGAACCCTGTGCTTCAACCAAACCAAATTACTCAGCCCATTGGTGTTTATTCTACTCTATTGCCTTTTTCTCACCTCTCTACTTACCTGAATCCCACCTGGCCTTCCAGACTCATTCCTTCCTCCACAAAATCATCCTAATTCTCACTTCCTTTCTGTTGCCTTCTCTGCCACCTCCCCAACCCAGCCAAAGAAATCCACTTCTTCTTTAAATTCCCATAGCTCTCTATATCTCATGGATCACTTTCAACCTCTACTAGAGTTATTTATGTCTGTGTTTTACTTCTCCTGAGAGACTATATGCTTGATGACATGGTCACTATATCATTCATTCTCATTCACTCAATGTGCCCAAATCCAGTCCTTGCAACACATGTTGAGTGAAGGACTAAAATCTGTGGTGGTCTATATTTCATTTCTCTTAATGAGGACAAGTTGTTGAACAGAGGGACTGCCCAGCTTGGTTAGTATCCCTCAGGTCTCAGTTGTATGATTGAAAAGTTCCCTTTGTAAGATTGAAAAGCTGTAGACTGATTTGAGGAGCCACAGAAGGATCAGGAGGAGTATTCTGAGTCTTTTTGTGGTTTCTGTGGCTAGTGGTGTTCCAGGGCCCAGAAAGGTGGGATGAGAGTTGTATGCTCTGGGAAATCCATTTAAATTGAAGCAGATGTAGCTGATAACTAGAAAGTTTTTAGAGGCTTCCATCTTTACTAACCAAATTGAATTCAGGGTGGAGAATAGCATTTGAATTTAAAATGAATGCAGAGATTCTAAAAATCAAAGTTCGAATCCAACAAGGGCATTTTGGGGGACTGTTATGATAACATGACGTCAAGAGGACAGTCTCACTGTACCACATGGGAGCAGGGAGAGAGAAAAAGTGGTGAAGTCAGGGAGGGAACCATGCCATGTGAGAAGTGGTTGAAGAAACAGGTGATGTTTTGGACTTTGGAAGGACAGGAGAACTGTACTTAATAGTTCAAACACTGTCAAGTTAAAATGGAGTTAGAGTTATCATTATGTCACATGGTTGTAAGCCACAGAAAATAAGATCTCAGCTCAAATATTAAAAAATCACAATTTTACAGCCAGAGCTGTCTAAAAAAGTGATAAGTTGACTTGGCAGGTAGTTAGCTCCCTGGAAGGCCCATAGGTTGGAGGTTCTAAAGGGGACTGATAGGCAACATATGGTATGGACCCACTCGCCCACCCTGTACCCATGGCAGACATTGCTAAGGGTTCATAGCACTTTTTTACCTTTGAATCTTAATGAGACCAGCATTTTTTCTCAAAACAGTACTATTAA